GTTGTAATGTGACAAAATAGGGAAAAGTTCAAGGGGTATGAATACTTTTGCAAACCACTGTAAATATTAAAGTTAGAGCTTTAGAATTAGCTTTTGCTAAAGGTTTTAAGGGTGTTAGTGCTTTAGAATTAGGGGACCTAACTATTAAAGTTAGTGCAACTAATTTTAAGATTAGTGCAGCCCACCACTGGAAACACAAAATGTTTCATGAAATAAATAAAAAAGATGAGTTTGATYGGGGTCAGACCTGCGCTTGTCTCTCATCCAGTCCTTCAGTTTGAGACCAGGAAGCTCCATCCAGTTGGCCAGGCTCAGGGTCAGCATGGAGCCCTCCATGGCCTGCAGGGGGACCAGAAACACCGGAGATTAGAACTCAAATCAGCTGCTTCTATGTTTCTCTTTGAGTCGATGTGCAAATTAACTCACAAAGTAAAACAAATAATGTTTGTATATTTTACTCTCACCACAAAGACAAACACTGTTGTGTTACAGCTTCACTGAGCTGAGGAACGATTTTATTCCACTTTATGTGATCTTGAGCAAAAAAATGTGACCCATCACATCGAAATGAGGATCAAGTCCAAAAGTGGGATGTGGACAAATGTGCAGATATAGRGTTTTGATTWAAACRTGTGCAAAAATTACATTTTGTGAARATATAATGAATTAATGCCTTATCAATGCATCTTTTGAATGAACTGAATAAAATCCTAAAAAACATTTTAGAAACATTTTTTGAGCAGTAGCAGGAAAAATGCCTTAAAACTTAGAATTTTTCCCTGTRAGCTAACAATGTTTTTGTTTCTTTCCAAATAGGAAATCTTAATATACAAATAATATTTGAGTTTTCCTCTTTATATGTACATAAAAATGGACTCAATAAATTTACATAAAATTAGGATTCAGACCAAACAGTAATGTTTTGTAACCATCAGGACAGATTAAATCATATCTCTGGATAAGCTGATATCAGGATGATCCAGGTGTCAAAATGTAGCTTTTCAATCAGGAATCTGAAAATGTAATTAGATCATTTTGATCAGATTTGACTCGATCCTCATTTCAATATGAAGGATCACAAATATCTTCATGTTTTATCAATATTTATATATTTTCAGCAACCATAATCTATATAATCCATTGGATTTAAATTAAATTATTAATCTCAGCTGCATACATGCCAGGCTCCTCCAGGTGGGCCCTTTCCCAGGACCAGGTGAGGAATGGCGCGTGACGGTTCGTATCGCCACTCCAGCGGAGACACGCGGTCCAATCCGAAGTCGCTGTCGGGCAGCAGCAGCGAGTCAAAAAGCACCGCCACGGGATTGGACGAGCGCCCTTCCAGACCCTCGCACAGGTACTCCAGGTCCTGCAGAGAGGAGGGGCAAAACAAGGTTACACTGAGATTAAAAACAACACCTGTGTGTGTGTGCGTGTGTGTTTACCTGCTCCAGCAGCGACAGGTGAGGCTGCTCCGAAAGCTTGCTGTGCAGCAGGGGGTTCGGATGCCCCGCCTCCGGCGACAGGTAGGGRGTGTAACCTGACAACATGTACGACAGGCAGATCCCTGACGGGCCGTTACCTGAGAAACACACGGAAACGAGAAGGCAGGTGAGTTCTGGTTAGACACACACACACACCCACCAACACACCTGATGCTCATGTGTCTGTTAGCAAAATATCTCAAGATGATTGATTTTATTTAAACTCTCAGGAAATAAATCACTGAACACAGATAAACGCAAAAACWTCTCCAACTCGTCCAGTCTTAAAACACTGAGCTGATATTCTGGGTGGTAGCTGAGCGTCTTCCTCAACAAACAATCTTTGTCAGAAAAGGAGATAAGGATAAAAATAACGTTTTTTTGTGGAATTTTTTGAGTTATATTGAGAGCTGTAACTCAACAACAACGAAAATTATTATTTTTAAAAAAACATGTAAAACTGAAGATTAAAAACAACAAAAACAATCTCATTCAGCTCAGAAAAATAAGATGCATAAAATCTAAAAAGGCTGAAACACTTTGATTTCACTAAGTCATGGGATCACGCTGTCTCAAACAATTTTGACCTCGATTGGGACATTCAGCACGACTCAGCAGTTCTCAATCCATTTTATAGTGAATGAATGACTCAGCACTTTCATTTTCCTCACACTACAAAACCATCATCAACTGGATTATTTTAYTAAAAATTGAGCTTTTTGTTTTTCTCCCCTTTAATAAATCCTGGATTAAACCTTGATTGTTTCATTGTAGACTCAAGATTAATTCACTTTCTCCAACAAAAAGCTTATTTTAAAAGGCAGAAGCTCAGAACATTTTTGCAGGTTTGAGGTTCTCACCGATGATGACGACGGGCAGAATCTCACCAGGCGTCATTTCTTTGTCCTGAAGATCCATTTCAGCTGCAAAGACAACAAAAACAGAATCATTCACACGCTCATTCTGACGGTTTCTCTCTAACCTCAGATAAAAAAATACTCTGATGAGGTTTACACCACAGGAAGTGAGCGTGACATCACCTGCAGGCGTGTAAACTTATACGCGTCTTTCACCATTAAAGCACGACGAGGCGGTTCAATCGGTCACTCAGACCCGTCGGATCATGTTAACGAGCGAGCTCCTCCTCTTCCTCAGTTTATTTAAGAAGAGCTCTTATTTACACRGAAGAGTCGTGACTCATTCGACAGACAATACATCTGGAATTTGACCTTCGTGCAATATGATGCCGAGATTAGAACATGTTTTTATTTCCAGCAGAATGAAAAAAGGGCCCTTGAAAAGATTAATTTTAAATGAGCTGCGCAAAAACAAAAGATTTAGTTTCTACAGAAACAAAAACATCCAAATATTCCAGAAAATAATGTGCATTAAGAGCCAAACCTCCTTTAACAAGCTATAAAATCACTCAGAAAATTAGTTAGGGATCACTCTCAGCTACTACCTCGACTAATTTTAGCTCATTACCTGTAAAAGTGACCGAGTCATGAGAAAAAACAAACATTATCACCTGTCAAYCAAAACGACAGAATCACATTTCCTGGCTGCTCATTAAAGCTTCGGCTGAATGAAGCACTGTGAGGTCAGCCGTGATCTCATTTCTGCAGAGTCATGCTGGGCAGGGCAGGGCGAGGGCAGCGGCCTGCAGCAAAACTGCAGAGTCATGCTTACTGAACACAAGCCCAGACATGTGAGGAGAGGCCAAACAGAAAAAAAGAGAAGCTAAAAGATCTGAGGCGACAGAAAGAAAAAGGAAGTGGGTTAAAGCAAGAAAAGAGTTGCATAAAAAAAAGGAAGGAAAGAACCAGAAGGAGGGGAGGAGACGAGCCGGCGGAGGTAAAAAATCGTTACATAAGCTGAGTGAGGAGAAGCTGGCAGCCGGCCCGGACTCACCGACCTGAGTGAGCGAAGCAGACACAGTAGCCCAGTTTCCCTTTAAAGCTGTCCGAATAATTAGATTCCTTCGTTCTCTGAAGGCAAACAAACACCAGATTTACAGCGAAGCTCCGACTCACTGTTCTGTCCACAGCTGGGAGAAAATATGTTTATTTTCTACAACTAAATCCTGCAGCTCAGATTCTATTACAGGATCATTTACTGTAAACTAGAGAAATGAAGCTCACAATAAAAACATCTTAGCTAAAAAAAAGATAAAGTTAAGTTTGTCTAAAAGCTAAAAAACAAACAGAAGATTAGCTGRAAATAACAAGGCTAGGTAAAAATGTAAAAGCAGCAAAAGGTTGGCTTTAAAAAKGTAGATGTAGCGAAACACTATCAAATAGCTAAATATGACAAAATGCTACCAAAAGGCTAAATAGAAGCTAACATTAGCAGAAGGGTATGCTTCAAGCTACCAAGCTGTTTTTGGTTCCTTTTGAAGCTGCAAAAGGCTAGCTAACATGTTAAAGCAAGCTAAAATTAGCAAAAGGCTGGCCACCAAGAAAATAAGTTGCAAACGGTTAGCTTAATGCTAAAAGCAGCAGAGAGTTGTGCGTCAAGCTACCTTTCCTTTCTGCTGTTTTAGCTTCTAGTCATAATAAATGTAGTAATATGCTAACTAGAGGCTAAACGTAGCAAAACTATGGCTAAAAGTTAAAATATAAAAAGCCTAGGTAATGATTAAAAGCAGCAAAACCTAGCTAAATAGCAAAAGACTGGCTAAAAAGACAGAAGTAGCAAACACTAGCAAAAAGCTAAAAATGCAAAAGGCTAATTGAAAGCTAAGTGTAATGAAAAGGTTAAAAAGAGCAAAAGGCTGCAAGCTAGCAAGGTTTTTTAATTTTAGATAGCCTTTCAAAGCAAGCTAAAATTAGCAAAAGGCCGGCCAACAAGAAAATAAGTTGCAAAGGGTTAGCTTAATGCTAAATACAGCAGAGGGTTTGCTTCAAGCTACCTTTCTGCTGTTTTAGCTTCTATCAAAAGCTAGCTAGTCAGGATAAATGTAGTAATATGCTAACTAGAGGTTAAAACGTAGCAAAAATCTGGCTAAAAGCTAAAATATAAAAAGCCTAGGTAATGATTAAAAGCAGCAAAAARCTAGCTAAAAATAGCAAAAGACGGGCTAAAAAGATAGAAGTAGCAAACACTAGCAAAAAGCTAACTGAAAGCTAAGTGTAGTGAAAAGGTTAAGAAGAGCAGAAGGCTGCAAGCTAGCAAGCTTTTTTATTTTAGATAGCCTTTTAAAGCAGCAAAAGGATAGCTAAAATCAAAAATTCGCCAAAGGCTGGCTAACTAGAAACTACAAACAGCAAAATGCTAAGCTTCAAGCTAACTTTCTGCTGTTTTAGCTTCTAATAAAAGCAGCCATACATATTAAATGTAGTAATAGAGTAGCTAGAGGATAAAAGTAGCAAATATATGGCTAAAAGCTAAATGCAGTAAAGATCTACCTAGAATCTAAAAGCAGCAAAAAGCTAACTAATAGCTAGTTAGGTAGCTGAAGCACATTTACGTGCATTTTTACTGAGAAAATATTTGTATATAAAAGTTAAATGTCTTTAAAATTTTCGTCTCCTGGTTGAACAGAACATTCTGACGTGAATTTCTCAAACAGCACCAAGTGTTCAGAAGCAGTTTGAGTAATCACACTACTGTTTCGGCTTATTTTCACAATAAGTTTTTTTAATCATCTTTGTAACGCAGGAAGTAAAACCACCTGCAGAACGGGAGCAGAACAATCAGAACAGGTGAGTCAGAAACCTTTCACACACACCTTATCAGTCTTGGCAGTCATTGATGAAAATCAGGTGGTTACAACACAATAAACCTAGATACTTGCTGAGGCAAAGGTAAAAACAAAGCTCAATTAAAACCTGGATTCCATCCACGGTTTGTGAAAAACGTGACAGACGAACAGTTTCCTGTTAAGATCTGTCGAGGGCACCGACAGCGATGACGCAAGACCTTCAGACGCCTGTTTCAACCTTAGATAATCCTGATTTCTACATTAAAAAACAGCAGAAAATATGACTTCCCTGGTAAATTACACAGATCAGCATCGATGCTAACTCAACATTGAAAATGCCATTGAGGAGCTAACGCCGTTAGCATCGAGTTTGTTTCTGGGGAATTTATTCACAATTTAAAGATTCTACAATCTTTATTAAACACAGTCAGATTAACAAACCCTCTTGAAGTGGCAGTTCAGATTAACGATCATAAAATACACTTTTCACCCCACCACACACTTTTACTGTAAAACCCTCTTCTGTTTGAGAGAAACAAAAAGTTTCCTGCTGAATTAAATCCATTAAAACATCTCATTTCACACCAACAGGTATCCACACCTGAGTGATGAGCTGACCAATCAGAGCTGACCGTTACTCATGAACCCTGACACTCAGTACGTCTGAGGTAAATGTTACAATAAAACACTGCAGAGGCTGTTGCTGCTTGAAGGAATCCACTGAGTTTTCCCTCTCAGGGTAACGATACAAATGTTTTACGTGCAGAACGTGGGATCCTCTCGTTGCACCAAAATGCAAAGTATTTTCCTGCACTTTTTCAGAGAACGCCTCAATGAAACCTAATCCACCTGCTGGACAGGTTTCCTCAAAGATGGTGGATCTTTAAAAAAATTCACTTTTAAAGTTTCTGACTTTCCTTTAAAAAATTAAATTAAATTAAATTAAAATTAAAAAGGATGACCTATATTCCAGCTCCGACAGGCGGCAGTTATTGGTAGCCAAAAGTCGTCCCTCCGTCTTTAGGTTACTTTTTATCACCATGACAGCAGAAAACACAGCAGGAAGCATCAGACCGACTGTAAACGAACAATGAAATCTGCAGCTCAGCATTACATAATCCACAATCTTAAAATCAACAAACTTCCTGTAAGTGGTGGGTTGTGGATTAGCCGCTAAATCGGAGATAATTGCTAAAAGAAATGATTTCAAAATCCCTCGATGGGTTCAGAAAATGATTAAAATCTGAACTGAACACCACTAAGATTACTAACTGTTCATTAAACACCTGAGGAATTTAAAAAGTGTTGCATATTTTGTCAAATTTACTTTAATTTTTATTTATTTAATATTAAAAATGTCAATACAATCCAAGATGGCCGCCACAGCTCATCAACCTTAAAAAAAACTGACCACAACTAGTCAGTTTTACAGATTTTACGCTAAAACTTCAAAAAAATGTGTTTGTTAGCAAAATATCTCACGAACTGATTAACATTTTGGAAACAACCATATTTAAAGATGGCCGCCACAGTTCGTTGACCTGAGACAACACAAATCTAGTGTTCAGTTAATAATACAAATATTAAGTTAAATGTGGTGTGGTAGTAGCTGAGACTGATCCCCAACACGGCCATAAATCAAAAATACAACTTAATGATTAAACAGCGACTCCTTTCATTTCATTGTGTTGAAAAATGGGTGGATCTTTTCTTTTCGTTATTTCTGGCACCTGATACACCGAAGCATCTTACTCCCGTAACGCCCTCAATGATTCCAGCCTCCGGGTTGTAAAAGTTGTGTAAACAGTGACCTAAAATCACCTCTTGAATCCACCTGTCACCTGCAGCGTCCAGACGGCCAAGGAGGGTTTATTTACAGGCGACGAACAAAAAGAGCTGCAGAGTTTGTTCCTTAAATTGATTAGGATTAAAAACACTTAACTGCTCAGGTTTTCTGCTTGTAAAAGGCTAATAAAATGCATGTTTCCTGGTAGTAATTAATGACTTTTTATGAAATGCATGGTTTAATTTGTTCTCTGTATTCATGGTTGCAGCCAGGTCAGGAGTCTGTAATCTACGGCTCTATAAGTGGCTCTTCAGACCTTCTTAAGTGGACGAAAAATAATGTTTAAATTAATAATTGTTCGTCTTAATTGTGGTAGAAATACGTGCAGGATCATGTTGATTTTAAAGTGTCTGTGACATGCCTATCCCTCAAACACAAAAAGTCAAAGAAAACATCTTTACTTAATAAAATTGCCATAATACACATGATTTTACCCATTTTGTCACATAACTGGCCTATTTTCTTTTAAATTTGGGCTCAGCCGAAGTGAAACAGGAAGTGACATCAAAGGGGAATTCAAAATAAACTCTCTGGTCTGTTTATTAAAACAAAATTATTTAAACTTTAACTCTTCTTCTCTTTGATAGGGACTAAAAATAATCTAAAGGAACATCAGATTCTTCTCTACAGTCTGTGTTTTAGCTTTTGTAGCTCTCTGTTTACATTCAGACATTCCCCTTTGACATCACTTCCTGTTTCTTCACATCTAAATATCTCAACAACCGTTCATCTCAGCGATGTGAAATTTGTTTTGCAACAAGTTATCAATGTTATCTTTCCAAAAATGCATTCATGTTTATTACAAAAACTTGCTGTCACAGGCACTTTAAGGTCATCTACATGTTTTATCTCTCGCTCTGAGCGCCTCCTGTGACCTGCAAAACAAAAATCCTTAACGACAACAAAATAAAGGAATTCTGAAAACAACCAAGGATTAAATTTTGCTCTGTGTTCCCGGTCATGAACTGTGACAAGGACACATGCAGTAAACAATGTCATTGTTTTAAAAATCAATTAAATGTGTCTGTGTGCATGGGCTTGCTTTTTATTAGATAACAGAGCCGGAGGTTTTTATTCCATTTTTGCACACTTATCTAGTCTTTAAATGTGTTTCCTGATATTAAACTTCATAATAATCAGATTAAACTTCTGTTTTCTGCTGTTATGTGCAGGTTTATTTAAAAAAAAAACAAATATTAAGTAATAAGAGAGTGTTTAATAACTTTTGATGTGCTTTTAGCAATAAAAAAACGCTTTTAAATTGAGTTCATTGTTTAAATTTAGCAGTAAAGCCTGGCGGATGTCCCGGGGAGTCAGCGGCTATGTGACCGGGCTGCAGTGATGACCACTCCCCCTACGCAGACCCACCCACCCCGGCGGTTAGGGCCGGACTGAATGAGTCACGAGCCCCTTCAGCTGCCGGATAATCGACCCTAATAACGGACTAATCCGAGCCGAGGGGCCGAACACCCTCACCGTCTACGGCTGCTGAAGCGGGGGGATAAACGAGTACTCACAGATACTTCCGGGTGAACGAGCCGTGACCTCTGCAGCCTCTCAGGAACGCTTTTAGCTTCTCTTCTCTTATTTGTCGCCTTTAGCTGCAGCTCCTCGGCTAGCTTTCATTCACTTTCTTCTGCACGCGGGGATGCGCGAGGCTTCTCTGATGTAAACCGGTCAACGGCACGTTCACGTTTTATAAAGCACACGCTGCTCACGCAGCTCACGCAGCTCGCGCCGCCGTCCAATCAGCAGCGGCCCCGGGGCTCCGTGGAAACGCCCACTCAGCAGCTTCTGACGTAAGAAACAAAGATCGTCTATTACAACAAGATGGATCAAACAATTTTTTAAATAAGTGGCAGACATGATTTTTTTCCCTTTACTCTGCACCCATTTCAATCAGAACTATTCTTTATTGTTGTTGTTACGTATATAATA